GACCTTGAGAGTGTAAACAAGCGGTATATTTATAGGAAAAATGTCACCAAAACTTAGAAGGCGGTTATCTAGACAATCCCGAGTTGACACATTGCTGCGCTACACATTGTGACGCTGGATTTCTCCTTGTGCCACACTATGTGGCACAAATAGTTAATAAAATCCAGCTTTTGCATATTCTATTGGGATTTAGATTATGAAGATATTTACTTGCCATTTTTAATCAAAATCACATGGTTTGACAGTTCCAAGAATATCTTGCTTCCAGTTCATTATAAATCCTGTCTTTTCTGAGTAATTGAGTTTCCTAAGCTTGGGATCTATGAGATTTAGGGAATATTTGGAAATATTTGTTGGACTATTGCCTAGGCTGACTATGCATCACTAGAGGCTATGGTGTATTGAATTAATATGGTCCCTAGGGATTAAATAGGTTGTTCGAAGGCTGTTTCCTAGGGTTTGCGTGTCATTTTCTATATCTCAGGATCTACAAATTCAAGAAAAGAACTCAATTTTGAGCTGGGTGTTTATAATTGCCCCTCTTTGGTGCACTTTATCTTTCGAGAAACGTGTGGACAATGAAGAAGTAGACACCTGAGATTGATGGACTTGAAAACTATGAACTCCTTGTCAAAGGATGGTTGTCCCATCATGTCCATCAACACATTGACTATCATCCTATCTCACTTGCATGCTTTGAAATTTTTGGATCTAAGGCTTATGGGCTAAGTGTTATCTAGGATGGTTTTATGTAGTATATGTTGGGATTGATGCTTGGGTTCTATCATGCCATTAATTCTTTGTGACGATTGATGGAAATGAATTTGACTTTCACTGTGAGTTCATTTCTCCCTTGCTTCGTAATATTTTTGTTGGATTTTCTAAGAAAATTTCTAAGGTTTTGGGCTGAAAATGGCTTTAAGATTAAAGGTTTCCCAAGTCTTAGAATACTTTCTCTTCAGAATCAGGGGATTATTAAGCGTGGGTCAAGTGAACATCATTTCGAGGCTTGATTCCTACTCCATTTTCGTGAACATTTTTAAAAAGTTTTGAAAAACAAGAGAAATTTTAGAAAAACATAGAGAATTTGTTTTATATTTTTAGGCTTGATTCCTACTCCTTCACGAAAATTTCTCTATGTTTTTCAAAAAATTTAGAAAGTATTCCTTACCATTAAGCCTTTGATCCAATATTCCTTTCTTGCTCTTCTTGTACACATCCCACTCGAAATTTTGGCTACGAGAATTCCTAAAAACCACATATCCCAAGTCGAAGTAGACCCCAACAACTTTCCAGTGGTTCAATAACCACCCAAATCGGATCTACGTTTAAAATATTTTTAAAAATGACATTTTAGTCCCTGTTAAATGGGCCTGGATTGTGTCGGGTAGGCTCGACCAATGCTTCGAGTGTCGTGCGATCACCAAAGCCCGTGACGGGCCCAGACCGGCTTGATAACACAGTAAAATGCTTTCTTTTTAATTAGATAAAGCCGAACAATCAAGATAAATCTGATAAATTCGAAAAAAAATAAATCACCAATTGAAGCCTATAAATAACATATTCTAAAACCTGGAAAAATACATCAGAAATCCCTTACAAACACAATTCATGAAATTATAAAAATTAGTCCAAAAATACCCAAAATTAAGAGAAACCCCTAGAAAATTCCAAAAAAATTATGACATCCCCAAAAATCTCAAAGGAACAACAAAAACCTTAGAAAACTAAAGAAAAACCCTCTCATTACCTTAAGAATCCTAGATCAATGTCAAAGAACCATAAATCTACCAATTCCAATAAGCATAGGCATCCAAAAAGATATCCCCCTACCTTAAGAACCCTAGATCCAGGTCAAAGAACCTTAGCTTTACCAATTCCAGCGAGCATAGGCATCCAAAAAGAGATGGTGGCGCAAATCAAAAAAGCAGTCTGATCCAAGCCCGAAATTCTGGGTTCCGTGTTTCGAGAGGTAAGTACCCTTTTATTTATTTAATTTTAAATAATTTGAATCTTGAATATAGCTTTATTGTCTATATTTTTGTTATTTCTTGGTTTGTAAAGTTAAAAAGAGTATTTAAAGCAAGATCTAGAAGCTAGCGTTGCCAGCGAACTCAATAAATGATCGGATTTGAATAGATTCGTACTATTCTTAGGCCCATAATTCGAGCGACCCCACTTTATCTGCCTTATCACAATTTAACTCAATGTTGCTAAGATTTGAACATATCTCATCCCACAGATTGATGTGGATCGGAGCGTAAATGCTTCTTCTACAAGATATCTATGGCTTCAAGGAACCTCAATTCCTCTAAAGATGAAAAGTCCTTTGGACATTCCTTCCCTCGAGTACATCCCTTCTCACGTAGGGGAAAGTTCAGCATTGATCTCAAGATTACTCAATGACTCCAACATGGTTCCGACCATGGTTTGTGTCGGCAAAATATTGGCCCGAGCTAATGGTTTCTCTCAATACCCCAAGCTTGCTCAGGGTGTTTGAAATAGCTCGATCGCACATCAACTTCAATTTGACCATTGGCTAAGTGATTCAATTACTTAACATAATCCTTCATGCTTCCAGGTTATTCCCAATTTAGAGGAGGTAACCAATATCTGATGACCACACGCCATTGGGCTAGAAGTGTTTTTCATGAACACTAACTATAGGAAAGGTAGGTGTTATATGTTGTATTTGGAATTTAAGCAAAATGTTGATCACAGACACGAATAGGTGCTACATGTTGTATTTGTGATAAGTGTAGATGTAGTATATGCGTCTATTTTTTTTAATGTTCTTATAATCCATTATTTGTTTATATATAACAATTTTTATATGAGAAAATTAAATAAATATCTGTTATACTTTGTGTTATTATAGATTTACCAAATAGTTTCCGTTATTACATGTATGTTCATTTTTTACTTTTTATAATGTAATTTTTTTAAAAAAATGGCTTTACCTTTTTTCGGATGTTGAACAACCGAATTGGAGGGTTTCTCGGATATTCAACATCCGAAAATAAGCCGAAAGTTTAATGTTCACATTCTTATTTTCGGGTGTTGAACATCCGAATTGAAGAGTTATGTGGATACATTGTATTCCTAGTGAAAATGGTTTCGGACATTGGACGTCCAAAAATGTCATATTGAATGATGTTCATCATCCGAAAATGATTGCGAAATTTGAGATACTTTTTGAAAATTCAAAGTCATATTTTCGGATGTCCAACATCCGAAAATATCACATTTTCGGATGTCTGAACCCGAAAAACCCTTCAATTCAAATGTTCAATACCCGAAAATGGGAATATGAGCGTTAAACTTTCGGCCTATTTTCGGATGTTGAACATCTGAAAAACCCTCCAATTCGGTTATTCAACATCTAAAAAAGAGTAAAGTCATCTTTTTAAAAAAATTACGTTATAAAAGGTAAAAAACGGACATACATGTAATAACATAAACTATTTGGTACATCAATAATAACTCAAAGTATAATAGATATGTATGTAATTTTCTCTTTTTATATTCAAAATACATTAATATACAAAGAGTTCTCTTTAGAGAAAATTGAAAGCATGGGTTTTCCATAGATCGAAGGCTATTTAGAATTATGATTTTGGAGAGAGGCGTTATGTTTAATCTCACTGTAATGTAGAGGATTTGAAGACTCAACCTTCTTCATATTTGAATATTCTTTAGCCAAGGAGGAGAAAAATTTGAAGGGTGTATTTGTCGATGACTTTGTATTGATCCACTAGCGAAAGCTTATCCATGAACGGTCCAAATTGACCAAGTGGGACCCAATATATCCTTTTCACCAATTTGTATTTGTGTTAGAGAAAATTGCATAAAACTCCCCAAAATGGACTTTCTAATCAATTTACCTCCAATTTAACTTTTTCTAACAACTTTTCGTCAAAAATCATGTTTTTTAGCAAAAATCCCCAATACAAAAAGTTCATTTTTTTTTTACGAAAATACCTTTCCCTTACCTAGAGAGCAAAAATCCCCAAAAAGTTCATTTTTTTTGACAAAAATATCCTTCCTTTACATAACAAATCGTTTTCGCTGGAGAGGGCGGTTCGACAATGGAAGAGGTGGTACGACGATTATTTTGCTGGAATGGGCGGTCCGGCATTTCATTGTGGCAGTTGGGGATTATGCTATTAGAGAAATAGGCAGTTTGACATTTTGAAGAAGCGCTCCGATATTTTGAAGGGGGAGTCAGGCATTTTGAAGTGGCGGTATGACATTTTGAAGGGGCAGTCCGTCGTTTTAAAGCGGTGGTCCGGCGTTTTGAAATGAGCAGTTCGGCATTGTACAAGTGCGATCTGGCGTTTATTTTTATTGAGATCCGAAAGTGATTTGTTACATATGAGAAGGGTATTTTTGTAAAAAAAACAAACTTTCTGTATTGGAGTATTTGTTAGGAAATAGTTTGTTAGGGGGGAAGTTGCTAAAAAAAACTTACGTAGGGTAAATTGATTAAAAAGTTGTCTGCTGGAGTCAATGATTAAAGCGCTCTGGGTTCCATTCAATTTTTCCTTTGTATTATCCGCTTCCCTTGGAACTTCTCCCATCCTCACGTTCTGTTCCCTCTACTTGACTATCTCTTGAAAAATCTTTCCTCGAAAAAGTGCCCGAACATGCCCACCGTATCCATATTTCTTCTGCCCTCCATCATTTGTCAAAAACTCTGCTTAACCCTTTCCCTCTATTTTAGGGAGCGAGAGAGCCAAAACTAGATAATAGAAACTTCAAATATTAATTTATCTCAAAAAATTTCAAAAAAAAAAAGAAAAGACTGTGTAAATAGGAGATAAGCTTCATGAGAGAAGAGCTTCATGGGTAAATAGGAGAGAGACAGTACTTAGGCTAAGTACCATTTGACATTTGCTAGAAACTATGTTATGTACGACACGAGGCGCTTGATTGCGGTTAATTTCTGACATAATATAGATTTGCAAAAAGCCAAAAACTTGGGGGTAATGCGGTCATTCTCTCTCTCTAAAAATTGATTTCTCATTTTCTTTCCATTTATCGTGTCCTGCAGTCTCACTGGTGTGTTCTTCCCACCTCAATAGCTGTTTAAACTTAAGGAAGAACCAAATTATTTATTTCATCATCTTCCTCTCCCCTGGTTTTTCCTCAACTTTTTTGTACTCTTTTACAGTTATGGCTTTGTCAATGGCTTCCATGTCTGGACTTATTAAAAAAGACCTCAAAATTTCGCCAAGCATGGGGTACTCTGTTAGGAGAGCACCAATGAGCTTGGGTATGCACATTTTTGTATTTATTACTTGGGTTTCTTTCATTTTTCATTTTTTTTCTCTCTCATCGTTTCTCTTTCTCTCTCATGTTGTTCAATTTGTAGTACAATGCTTGTGTTTGATTCATTTGTCATTGTTTCTCTTTTTATCATCTTCATATGCAAGAAGGGGGTGAATATGCAGGTTTAAGAAATGGGTTTATCTGTTGGGTTTGTTTCATTTGTCATTACTTCTCTCTCTCTCTTCTCTCTCATCTTCATCAATGGCTAGTAAAGTGGGCAAAATATGCAGGTTTAAGAAGTGGGTTTTCATTAGCAAGTAGAGGAAGAAGCTTTGAGGTTGAGAACGATGGTTTGGGTGTTTCTGAAAGATGTCCAACTCCTATTTTACTGGCTCGGGCTTCTAGGTACATTTCAATTGCGTTTGCTTGGTGAAATGTACTTTATTTCTCTTATTTTCAGCATTTTTTGCTATTAGTAGTCTATGTTCTTCTTGAAAAGTTCTATGGCTTAATATAAGGAGTTGCAAGGTAAATCTTCGGTGTTGGGTTTTGGCATAGTGAGCCGGCCCATAATTTATATTTCAATTAGAATCTCTCTATCTCCCCACCCCCCACTACTGTTTCTTCTCGTCTCCCTGTTATTTTCTTTATATCCCTTAGTTTTTCTGTAACAGTGCGATTTCATAGATGTTAGAATTTCCATTTTATTGTGCATGAATGAGATCAAGTTTCCTTAAGGGATCCCAAATGGTTGTATTAGGTGCCTTAAGTGATTGATGGAAACACCAAGGATCTGAAAGCAACATTTTGCTGTTAACTCATGGTCATCGTACCCCAGCTTTTTTCTTGATTATCTTCTCGGGCATCTATGATTTAGCCAATGGGTTTTTATTTTTTTGAAAGAATTCTTTTGGTTGTTCAGATATTTTCCACAAATTTTTAAAACCTTGGTCTTATTGTTTCTGTAACCATCTAATCTCTAATTTTTGGCATGCAAATGATTATATGATATACCCCATCTTCCTCTCATTGATTATTTTGGTTTTTCCTCATGTGGAGTTCTATAGGCTTTTTTACTATATTAATATGAATTTGATGGAAAAATGTCTCATTCTTACTTTCACCATTTGCTCTTCGATTCAGGCTTGTAGATTGAGTAATTCATATAATATTCATATCATCCTTTTCATTTGATTGATTCTTTTGTTTTTTCCATGTGGAGTTCATGCATAATTCAAGAGGTTCAAGGTGGTTAAAAATTTCTAATTTCCTCATGTGTACTTAGGAGTCGTATAGTTTTGTGCAAAGCTGAAGTGAATGTAGCCGGAGATGTTCCAAGCAACAACCCTAGTGGAATGAGCCAGTATGAGAGAATTGTGGAGTTGTTGACAACTCTCTTCCCAGTATGGGTATGATTGCTTTGCTTTCTTCGTGTTCTTGGGAAGTATACTTGTTGTGTTAGTTGTAAGTTTGAAAATTTCCTAAGATTGCTCTTTTCCTTACCCTTCTTAGCTTGTTTGCAATGTCAGGAATCCTACAAGCTCTTGTTTGCTCCATTTTAATTTATCCTCATTCATTATGTTTCTAAGATAACATGCTTTGGTATGGGAAATGCTGCCAATTATAGCTGACACCATTTGCTATGGCTGAATCATTTTCTCCCTGCTTCTCAGGTTATTTTGGGCACAATTATTGGTATATACAAGCCATCTGCAGTAAGTTATCTATGGAGTTTTCTATTCGTGGGCGAAGTGTTTAGTTAGTTTATATATATTCATATCAAATCATAAAGTAAGTGGTTGCTAAAATATTTTGTTATTTTTCTTATCTTTCAGGTTACTTGGTTAGAAACAGACTTATTTACTGTTGGCTTGGGTTTTCTCATGCTATCTATGGGACTGACATTAACCTTTGAAGATTTCAAACGGTGCATGCGAAACCCATGGACTGTAAGATATTTGCTCTTTTTGATCAGAAAATGTCAATAAAATAGAAAGTTTTGTAAGGGAAGTGTATACTGTTATCCAATGTGCTATGGGGCATCCACCATCCATTCCTGGTGATGGACAGTTTAGATGAAGTTCACATATCCAAGCCCAGGTCCCACTACAGTAAATCGCTACGTGCATCATCTGGAATGAACAGTCGATGCCCCCTGGATTATCACGTACTGTACTTCATTGAATTATGGCATGCTTCTCTTCCTTTTTATTTCAAATGATCATTTTCATTGTTCTCTTTTGGTGATTCTATCATATCCTAAGGGGACTAAACAATTCTTTATTTTCAGGTGGGAGTTGGGTTTCTTGCTCAGTACCTCATCAAACCAATGTTAGGCTTCTTCATTGCCATGGTACATAGATACATCATAACCAAGCTTGTAGATTGCTGCCATGGCATCTTTAATGGCTTCGACATTAGCATTAAGAAGTTCCATTTCCTCCTCAACTTTCATTCCTTATAGTTACGTATAACAGATGATAGGATTAGAGAGTTGAACATGATCATCTTCCTAGTTATATGGCCTATAGGTGCTAGAAATCTTATGATCGTAGTCATACATGAATACCATGATAATCAACATGAAAGGCTATGGTTTTCAACGGTTTTCAAGTGTCTTAAGGCATTAATCAATTGAATCACAAATCATACTATACAAATACTTCATTTCAAGAAGCTTTTAGGAAATGATATGCTAGAAATGTGCTTGGAATTCTACAAATTATTGGGTGACTTTATTCCATCCAAGACTGGAGAAATCATGATTTGTGTCAGTAGTGTAATATGCAATGGTTCCATAACTAGTTCATGTTGCTACCTTTAGCTTTTTGCAATATGTAGTTGCTGGTGTATTTTTTAGCAGATTTCAAATATTACCTAGCTTTGGAAAATAGATTTGAATGTGCAAATTACCATTTGAAATTTTGAATAACTGCTGTAATTGGTGGGATAAAGACTTATATGTTTCCATTGTAATGGAAAAGACAAGCTTTAAAAACTAGTCTGTTTTTTTTTTGGAAACAGTTTAGTATGATGACCATTTAGCTTATCAATAAATGTTCTGTTCAACATAAAAGTGGAAAATTGTTAAGCTGGAGCTGCTGGAGCTACAACAATAGATCTTTTTAGACTTCAGGACAATTTTGCCGTTAGGATGGAAATATGGGTGAACAAGTACAAGAGAATATCAACATAGCCTATGGATAATTCTATTACTGTAGAGTGAAATGGCAAGGCATCTATGTCAAGTTGTTTTATTTTATTTTTTGTTTATGTACTATGCGTTGTTGCATGCAGTATAGATAAATTACATGATGACGGTGTTCAAATGTTTACGAAGTTCTGACGGGCGTAGAACATTTGAAAATAAGACTGACCAAGAACTGAGTTCCAAGGATCAAAGTAAAAAATTTAAAATTTCAGATCGTTACTATTTTTATTTTTATTTTTATTTTTATTTTTATTCTTTAAATTATCTGGAGTTCCGAGGTCTTGTTCAAGCCAAATTATGAGTGTTGATTAAGCTTGAATAAACTGGGGGGAGTGGGCCTTTTTGATTCCCTTCTTATTGCACTTCATGGGTCTTTTCTGAATGGCCCATAGGGCTGTAGACACTTGACGAACTGGTACGTTAGTCCCAACCCACGCAAGTAGTAGTATTTTGCCTTAGGTACATGTTGAGGTCCATTTCAAGCATTTCTTTTTGTCTATTTGGTTTTCTATACTTGAATGGGGCATGTATTTTAGATAGGTTCTTTGGTTGGATTACTTAGAGTAAGGTTTCTACAGTTGTGGAGTGTTAATGTCGTAAAAATTTTGGATGTTCATATATTGTGCAAAGTTGTTGTCTGTTGGGCAATTCTTACAATACAAAGGATGTTGGGATCCGTTTCTCATTGTGCCCGTTAGTTTCCACATGCAGTCTCTTTCAGAATTGTTGGAGGCTGGAGTGGGTTCAAAAGAAGGATGGGTTCTGGAGATGCCGAACCGCTATAGGATGGAATGTCCCTGGGATTAGGATCGACAATCCGTACATTCAACATTAAGGAGCTAGATCCTAGGATACCTGGGAGCGAGATCCCATGTCACTGGGATCGAGGTTTTGACTTGGAAGGATCTAAGCTCCACTATACATAAGGCAAGATCAATTAATAGTATATGATAAATTTAGGATTGAGACAATGCCTGCTCAATCCATTATCATACACCTTAGCTTATTACCATTGCCATAGTTATAGTACTCCAATTAACTACAATAACACATTTTAATAATATTATAAATTGGCTTAGTATGATATTAAATTGTAGCTTTTTAAATACAATAAGTCTAGTATACCACTATATAATATGCACCACAATTTAACATATTCTAAAAAAATAAATTTGCAATACCAAGTAGAGGACCAGTAGTTCCATTAATAGTGTAGCTCCTCTCCTTTGAGGGATTTACAAGCATGTAGACTGAGATCCCATTTTATAGGGATCGAGATCCCTATTTCTCTAAACCCAGCTCCTTGTAAGATCCCTTCGAGGAACCACATGATCGAGTTCCTAAGGTGGGACCATGGCTTTACCCCCAAGGTTCCTGCAACTATGGTCTCTTTTGCTTCTAGGAACTCTTTCCTTATAAATGGGCAGAATGATGTTTCCAAAAAATTGTAATTTTCACATTTAATTTGTTATTGTAAAAATTGGGAGACAATACTTTCTTTTTTTTTCATTGAGCAAAGCATTTTATAAAGAAAAGAGAATATGGATAAGATACCCTTTGGGAAAAACACATGAGATGGCCTTCAATCCAATTGCCGTTATACCTCTATGTGCACTACAAGCCACCTTATTTATCTTCCTAAAGTATAGTAAAATGAGACTCGTATTACAGAAGTTAGACAATGGATGATGGATTTGTACCTTAATTGTTTCCAGGCTTCATGGATTTGGGTATTCCCCTTTTAAAACTTGGATTGGTTCGAATAATCACCTCTATTATCTCTTGACCCGCAAATCATTTAATCAAGCTACCCACTCCTATCTACTGAAAATAAAAGCTATCCACTCCTGTGAGATCACGTTTGTTTTGATCAATTGTTAGTGGATTTGCTTTTGAGTGCTCTTCGTTCTGGCCCAAAATGGTAGTGATTTATCTCTTCCACAGATTTGGGGAAGTCTTTGGTTATTTTTTAAAACTAGAAAAAAACTAAAAGTCCATAAAAGGTGTATAACTAGGGATTTTTCAAAATTTTTTAATTTAAAATATAACATCATCATCATCATCATTCGAACTTTATACCAACTATTTAGGCTCGGCTACATGAATCTTGTTCCACCATTCCGCTCTATTAAGGGCCATAATCTTAGTTAGACCATAGGTCATCATATCTCTTCTTACTAATTTCATCCATGTTCTTTGGGCCTTCCCCTTGCCCTTTTTGAGCCTTCCACTTGAACCAAATTGCTCCTCTTAACCGGTGCTATTCTAGGTTGACGGTGCACATGGCTAGACGACCTTAGTCTTCTTTCCGTCATCTTATCGCCTATTGCCACCCCTACGTTCCCTTTGATATTCATTCTGAATTCTATCGTTTATTGTCTTGCCACTCAGCCATCTCAACAACCTCATCTTAGCTACACTCATTCTATGAATATGTTGTTTCTTGACTGTCCAACATTATGTCCCCTAAAGTATGGCTGATTCTATAGGTATCCTATAGAACTTCTCCTACATTTCAATTGGTAGACGGCGGTCACATAAGACTCCGGAAGCACATCTCCACTTCATCCACCTAGCTCTAATTCTATGCGCGTCATCTTTATCAATCTCTTCATTGTCATGGATTGTGGACCCAAGATATCGAAAATAATCTCTTTTAGGTACTTTTTGGCCATCAATCTTAACTGATTAATCTTTTTTACTTTTAGTAGTACTAAACTTGAATTTCATAATTCTGCGTTTGGCGAATTTGAGGCCTTTTGATTTTGGAGCATCCTCAAATTTTTTTTGTGTTAGTGATGTCTCTAGTTTCATCAATCAAAACTAAGTCATCCATAACCAAAACAAAGGGATCAATGAAAATAATTAGTAAATTATTCTGAAAATAATTTCTCCACTTTCATTGATCTCTTCATCTTTCTCTAAGACTCTAATCCCCACTCTTAATGCATTTAACATGATCTAGGTCCCTACACTTCCTCTCTCGTATTTTTCTAGTTTGAAGACATTTTTTTTCATATTTTAATATAAAATATATATTATAAAATATATTTTAAGTTTATATTAAAATTGATCTTAATATAAATATATATTTTGTAAATTTTTTGAATATTTCAGGATAGTTTTCCCCAAATTGTAGTGTATTTTAGGGGCCCTGCAAAGTTTTAAATACATTAGGGGTGTTTATGAATTTTTTAATCATAGAATAAATTTAATGGGGGAGCGATTTACTTGGTTTGGGTTTATGGCCAAAGCTGAAAACTTTGGCTGTTTCTGCCAAAGAGAAGCAAATTTGATTACATTGGTTTTGGCATTGTAGTATCTTATATTTTCAGTTCTGAGGCCTATGTAGTTTTTTAGAATCAGTCCTCTTACTTTTACTATCTCCTAACGCCACAAGGATTGGGTCCCTTTGATAGCTCCATTGGTGTCAAAGAGTACAACTTCCTTTGGGGTGTTGGAATCCATTCTATCTGTGCTTGAGATCCCATACCCCTATTTGATCTTAGTCATCAGAGAGATAACGTCCTATGAATGACCTTGAACAGAATGGATGGAGTCCATGTTCTCCCTTAAAAAAATTCTATTATTCTTTCCTGAACGTGCAAACTAATGGCCAGAAAGACAATGATGAGGGTTTGAACCCTCTAGTCCCATCTTGTTCCCAAAAAATCCAGCAACAAACAAAAGGATGATGCATGATCCAATTAATATTTAATATTTTATCTCAATTGACCACATTACCCATCTTCACGTTTGGAGTATCTGGTGATCGATTGTTTGTTTTGCCTCCATAAAATGCACATGCTGATCAAGACCATTTATTGATTGCTATAGATCGTTACGATGAGTACTTTGTCCATACGAGCTAATAATAAAATAATGCAACTCTAGTGTGGGATGTCCTTCATTCCTGCTTCGTCAGAAATACAAGTTGGGACCAGAAAATAATTTACAGTCCTTAGATTTTTATTTGGGAATATCTCCAACACCCTCATTATTCTAGCCTTTCTATCACCCCCTTGACATAAACCCTCAAAATAACTCAATTAGTTTTTTCCATCTTAGAGTCCTCACATAAATTCTCTTTACAATTTAATTAATTTCCATTTTATCCATTTCAAACTCAACTTCTTGAAAGT